AGCTATAAACGCATCATTCACTGGCAATGGCACCTTCACTGTGGCTAACAAAGCTCTAAACGCATCATTCACTGGCAATGGCACCTTCACTGTGGCTAACAAAGCTATAAACGCATCATTCACTAGTAAACGCATCATGTACTTGCAATGGCAAGTAGTTGTGGCTAACAAAGCTCTAAACGCATCATTCACTAGCAATGGCACCTACACTGTGGCTAACAAAGCTATAAACGCATCATTCACCAGCAATGGCACCTGTACTGTGGCTTACAAAGCTATAAAAGCATCATTTACTACTAAACGCACCATTTACTTGCAATGACATCGTAGTTGTGGCTAACAAAGCTCTAAACGCATCATTCACTAGTAAACGCATCATTTACTTGCAATGGCAAGTAGTCGTGGCTAACAAAGCTCTAAACGCATCATCCACTGCTAAACGCATCATTTACTGGCAATGGCAAGTAGTTGTGGCTAACAAAGCTCTAAACGCATCATTCACTAGTAAACGCATCATGTACTTGCAATGGCAAGTAGTTGTGGCTAACAAAGCTCTAAACGCATCGTTCACTAGCAATTGCACCTACACTGTGGCTAACAAAGCTATAAACGCATCATTCACCAGCAATGGCACCTTCACTGTGGCTAACAAAGCTATAAAAGCATCATTTACTACTAAACGCAACATTTACTTGCAATGACATCGTAAATGTGGCTAACAAAGCTCTAAACGCATCATTCACTAGTAAACGCATCATTTACTTGCAATGGCAAGTAGTCGTGGCTAACAAAGCTCTAAACGCATCATTTACTTGCAATGGCAAGTAGTTGTGGCCAACAAAGCTCTAAACGCATCATTCACTAGCAATGGCACCTTCACTGTGGCTAACAAAGCTATAAACCTATCATTCACTGGCAATGGCACCTTCACTGTGGCTAACAAAGCTATAAACGCATCATTTACTACTAAACGCATCATTTACTTGCAATGACACCATGGTTGTCGCTAACTAAGCTCCAAACGCATCATTCGATACTAATCGCATCATTTACTTGCAACTGCATCGTCATTGTGTTCAACAAAGCTCTAAATGTAACAAATCGACTAACGTTCATTTTTCAAGTTTTTTGTTTATTTGTACATTTGCTTTGTTGGTCACATGGATGTTTCTTAGTAAATGGGATGACAAAGAGTGAGTGAGTATGGTTTTACGCCGATTTTATCAATATTCCACTAATATCACGACGGGGGACACCAGAAATTGGTTTCAAATATTGTACCGATGTCGGGAATCGAACCCGGGTCTTCGGCGTGACGAGCGAACGCTTTAACCACTAGGCTCCCCGACCGCCCCGGGATGACAAAGAACACGACTAAAAGTTTTAACCGGTTTAATTAAGAACTCTTTATAAAATCGGTAACTCATTGCATGTATTCCATTAAATATAGCAATTTGTTGATATTTTGACAGCAAAATTAAGTACATATTTTTGTATCCTATTTTCGAGATTGGCGATTTGAAAAATCAAGTAAAAACTGGATTCCGATGCTCGTTTGGGTTTAAAATGTCGTCAAAGAGTAATATATTTTGGGCATTGTTCAAAATTCATTTTCCAATATATTTTCGCAGAAAATTTTATTGAAAGAAATTTACACATCAATATAAAATAGACATTTTCATCACAATACTTTTTGAATTTTGCATTCAGTGAACCGATATAAAAATAATAATTGACGTTGGCCTTTCTATAATTAAGCGTACATTTACCCGTATTATAAACTGACGTCCAAAAGAAACTTTACCAGAGTTTGAAATCACTCTTGCTCAAAAACAACAAAAAATACATGCATGAAGTAAAGTGTATTGAGAAGATCAATATATCAACATAATCAACACTGAAAATGACAATCATACCGCGACCGAGAATTACGTCAGAGCCCCCCAAAGTTGGGTGTGGTACAAAACTCGAGCTTTCAGAATCATGGACAATAGGCAGAGTACATAAACAATCGCTCACGTTCAATAACAAGTCATAAGTAGCGTGTGTGACCACCAAATGCCTTCATACACGCAAAAACTCTTCGACGCACAGAAAAAGTCAGTCGTCTGATGAGGTCACGTGGGATTTGACGCCATTCTTCTTGGAGGGCCAAGATCAGTTCTTGCCGGTTGGCTGGAGAGTGTGGTCGTTGTCGAACACGACGATCCATCAAGTCCCAGAGGTGTTCTATGGGGGACATGTCGGGTGAGCGTGCAGGCCACGGCAGGGCGTTGACGTTGTTGGCTGCGAGGACGTTAGTGACAATTCTGGCTGAATGGGCTCTAGCGTTATCATGCTGTTAAATGACACCACGTGGCTGCTGTTGGAGAAATGGTAGGACAACTGGACGAAGAATGTTATCTATGTAACGCTGAGCTGTCAAGTTTCCGTCAACGATGACCAGCGGTGTCCTCTCCTGCCCACAGATCCCTCCCCACACCATGACACTCCCTCCACCATATGGTACGACCTCCTACACGCAACACGACGCCGTTCGTTCACCCCTTCGGCGGTAAATACGTTGTCTTCCATCAGCCCTAAACATACAGAATCGACTTTCATCAGTGAAGACAACCCTCTGCCAGTCACGTCGTTACCAACGTCGTACAGTCCGGGCCCATCTCAATCGCAGACGACGATGTTGCGCTGTCAATAGCTGTCCTCTGTATGGTCTAAAAGCCCTGATTCCATGAGCCCTGAGTCTCCTGGCCACTGTCTGTCGACTAACCCTGTGACCTAAGGCATTTGTCGCCGATGACGTCACTGTCAGGAAGCGATTTCGGAGGTGCAAGGTACGCAAGTACTGGTCATCATGGGGCGTGGTCACCCTGGGTCTGCCTGTTCTTGGCCTGACAGTGGTCCGCCCTGTCTGTCTGTAACGTTGCATGAAGTTGATAACGGCAACACGGGAGCAACCGAAGATTCGTGCAATATGGGCGTGGGTGGCTCCCATCTGTACCATACCGAAGGCTCGTTCACGTTGTTCGACTGTGAGTCGTGGCATTTCTTTTGTGTTTATTTATCACTGTGGATGTCTGACTTGCCGTTGCAATCGTTTTATACCCGTACCCGCACGTGCATTTTCAGTTGTCCGTGGTGCACGTGGTTTTCCCTTTTTCTCGTGTTATCTCGCAAACATGTAACAGACGATTAACATTTTCTGCATACACTATTGTTGTATTTAGGTTATATGTTTTAGATAGACTTCATCGAAAAAAAAATTATACTTCGTCTGAAATTTATATTTTCAGTTGGTAAAGTTTCTTTTGGACGTCAGTTTATTAAAAAAATATAGACACTCGAGACCATTCGAACAATAATATCATTGTAAAGGACAGGCCAAGCATCATCGAACTTCATTCGGGTATAGATTTCACACATTGACAATGTAGATATTTCGCTCCACACCTAAATTTAAATGAAATCAGACAAATCAGTTTATTAGCTCTACTTAATTTAAAAGGATAGAAAAGGACTACATTTTATGTATGTTCACGTTAACTTGTGGCGTGTTTCATGAGACAACATAACTTGACAATTCCTTACTTATCTCCCTTTGTGAACGAAAATTAGTGTCACTTTCAAATTTTGAAAAGAATTATGGATCTAGACAGACAAAACAAATTACGTCATTTAAATACAAATAGCTTGATATTGTATTTGAGTCCTTGGTTTATTCGTGAAATACATTGGATATATAAATAACAAACAAACTTAAGCTTACAACTCGCTCGTGTGTGCGCTGCTTCTTGAACAATTTGTATTTTGAGTGTTTCCACGTAAAATGTTGATGTTTTCTCTGTAAACTTGACTTTTGACATAAACACAAAAAAGCAGTATTGTGAAACTGACCCAGTATACATTACGTCACAGACTTGAACACACTTCTCAAATGTTGAACGCCTGCTGTTCGATCATATGTCTTGTCATCGTCATTTAGAAGAACGCCCCTAAAGCTACCGCCACACGCAATAGGACCGCGAAGTAACTTGGCAATCAGTGCAATTGGCGACTGATTTCCTTTGCAATCGACTAGCGATCGCTGAGACCGGTGCAACTACTTCTGCGCGTATTTGGAATTACAGTAAACTACGGTTATAACGAACACGCTTATAACGAACTGACGGATATAACGAACTTACTTTTTTGGTCCCGACTATTGCTGTAGTTATGCTGTATAAATGCTTATAACGAACTACGGTTATAACGAATTAAAATTAGTAGTCCCTTTGAGTTCGTTATAACCGTAGTTTACTGTAGGGTATGATCGCCGATCAATCAGCGATAGGTTTTGCATCTTGTCAGTGAATGATCGGCAACTGTTCACCGCAGATACTGGTTGAGACCGATCGGTGACGAGTCAGCGAATCTTCGGTGACTTGTTGCAACTGAACGGGGACTGGTCGGTGACTAGTTGTCGATCGATCACCGATCAAAACATAATGCATATAAATAGGGTGCTTTTCTTAATCAAATCATTTCTTTGCAAGTTTTTCCAGATGTTAACAGCAGAACAGTTGCAGTTGCTCCGCCTGCAAAGAATAAATCAAAATGCTGCAGTTGCTGCCATGATGATGTACAGAAGAATGAGAAGGACAAGGCGAAGGCAGTATTGGTTGAGACCTTGGATCGCAAGGTGAGGTGAGGTGAAATTGGGTTTATTGCCCAAGATTATGGCACTTCAGTCTCAGCCACACAGACAATGCGACCGGATGCAACCTCCTGGCAACCAAAACATCAATCGTAGCCAAGATCGTTTCGAAAATCTAGACCCTGGAGTCCCGTCCATTATAAGGATAGAATTACGACACATCCATGGAATTTTCTTTCAGTACAGCCTTGGAGCAAGGCTATCCCACGGGTTGACCCCCCACCCCCACCCTCCCCACATTTGATTTACCCCCGCCTCGTGACTGTTTTATAAGAAAATACAGCTCATAGAACAAAACAATCCACAATTAAAAGAATATGTTTATTTCCATTAAATTACATCACGTTGTCGCCCTTTTGTCTTGATGACTGTTCTGTTTGACTGAGGCCTTGTTCATGGAGGAACTGCTCACTTTAATCCAACGACCGCTTTTTGTCTCTATTAAATGGTGAGATCTCGGTGTTTTGTGGTATTTACTTTTACTTACACGGCTGACACCAAACAACCTATCTGGTAAAGACATGACCCGTTCTTTCGACTTCCTGTAGTAATTTAATCTCACTTTTTCCATAAGAGGAATTTCATCGGTCGTTGCAAGGTTACAGTCACGTGACGAGACCTCAAAGGCTGAACTCCACTGCGTGGCCTCAAGTTTCAAGGTGTCCGTGTGGTTTAGGTTCTGTGAACAAAATGTCTGCCACATATGGCGAATCTCCTTATACGTCTGAACCTCTCTGAAGAAGCTTTTGCCTTCAGCGTGAATTTTGTCCCAGAAAAGCTGGTAAAAGTGATCATATAGCATGTGATCAAGCCACGCCCACCGCCTATGTCTTTCACGATCTTTGGGTGTGAATTTGAGATCATGTCCTTTCTTCAAAGAATTACTTGATATGTACAAGATATCCTGAAATTCCCATTTCAGTAATCGTTTCATGAGGACAATGGATTCATCAAAATACTCAGCAATAAGTATCAAGTGGAATGTGTTTTCTAAGTCTCTGATGAAATCCCGCGCCTGTGAGAGATTGCGAGACCATACATTGGGGAAACCGAGATCGACCGACATCCGGTTATTTGTGAAAGATGTTGATGCATTTGGGGGTTCGTACTTCCGGGGGTCCTTTAAGTATTCTGTAACTGGATTCTCGCCATTGATTGTCCATAGATAGGGCATTGGGTACACATATTTATAGTACATGAATGCCGACACAGTTTGGTCAAAGGGTTCTCGCAATATGGCGATATATTTAGTGTCGGGAGGAAAGAGTGGTTTCAGGAATGTCTTGTTAAATATGACGTGATTAAACATCATGTCGTAAGTTCTGTTTCGCATAGGAGGTAGGACATTTCTACCATTAAAGTGACCATGTTCGTTCAGAATATTCTTCCGTGATGGAATCATCATCGTCAGATTCATTTTTAATCCATATCTGACAAAAATATTCATCAAAGTCGTGCTTGCTGCCTTGTGTACTTTAAGAAATACGACATGCCGTACGTTTGTATTTGGAACGACATGCTGCCATGCGGTCGTGTTTCCGGCCAATAGCCAGCTTGGTCTGGCAAACTGGTACCCGACACTGTCAGTGTACATGTTGATGGCGATGATGCCGCAGATGAAGATAGCCAAGAAAGACACAGCCTTGCAACGTTGGAATCTGTAAATGTAAAATCAAAAGTAGTTCTAAGAATCTGAGATAAATGGTATCAGCACTCTGCAACTTCAAACAATCTAATTAAAATCAGACCTTACTTCTTGCTACCGCTAAACAAAGATCTGAAGACATCCCGTTAGGGGTCACGTCAGAACGACCTTTCATCCGACCAATCAGAGCGTCGCTTACCAGATCATGAAAGTGACAGTCGGAATGTGATTTCTAATCATACAACCTCGAAAACTTTAACACGGGGTATTCCGAACGATAGTTACGGGTTTAACGACTGAATCCATACAATCTAGACCATCTATTAGCCATTCCAGAATGTTCTTTTGTTCAGGTTTCAAATTTGTAATCGAGAATATGTTTCGAAGCGTACTCGCCAATTTGAAATTAGTGCCGTAAAGCACGAGAAAGCTGGCTTCTGATTGGTCATTCCATTGGTCGGTCCAAGTTCGCGCAAGGTCGGTCTGACGTGACCCGTAATGGGATGTCCTCAGATCTTTGTTTAGCGGTAGCGAGAACTAAGATCTGATTTTAATGAGATTGCAACTTTAAATAACAATAACACTATAAATATCGTAGTTCTGAGCACGCCATATCATGGAATACTATTGTAGCTCTTAACGCAAGCTTGACGCACAATAGTAATAAAAGAATACGATTATCATGGCTCTAAACGCAACATTGTCTGACACTAATAATACAAAGAATATCGTGATTCTAATCTTAAAATTGAATAACTTTAGACTAGCTCTATCAACGACAAAACGAATATCGAGCCTCTAAACTTACTGACTAACAACAATTATTGAAATGATAAAACAAAACGATTATCGTGGCTGTGAACTTTACGTTGAACACTAGCAGTATCAATACGAAAACGGTGTCGGTAGTTCTAAACATAACACTGAGTACTCATAACAGCAGCAGCATTAATAATACCGATTACTGCAGCTCTACGCGCAGACACTGACTAACAATAACACTAACAGCACCAATAAAAAAAAAGAATTATCGCTGTCCACACCGCGATATTAGCTGAATTAATGTTAACACCAAAGGTTAGACTAGCAGAAACAATGATTACCGTATCTCCAAGCCGTATATTGACTAATAATTACACTAAAAGTATTAATAATCTGATAATCGTAGCTCTAAACTTAATATTGACAAATAATAACATTAACAATATTAATAAAAATGATTAACTTTTTTAGTGATTACTTTAACTAAATGTTCCTTTTTAATAGTCTATTTTGCGATATCAAAAAACAAATAATTTAACAGCAAGAACTTTGAAAAGGAAACAATAATTCCAATCTATTTCACACAGAAGATCAAATGTCTCTGACTTAAATGAAACTATTTTGGCAGTTAGGAACAGTTACGTATGATTGGGTAACATGCATCTTACTACTGACTAACAGTTACACGTTAATGAATGATAGTTATTTTTATCCATATTGTTATATGAACATTTATGCTAAGACATATAATTATTCTGATTTTATTACAATTTCAATATGAGTTACTCTTGTGAAGTAATAGATAAAAGTTACACTTTGATTTTTAGAAATTCCAAATAACATAAATAATAATCAGGATCAATATAAAATAAACTATTATATTATCATAGCATAACCAGCTTCATCTACAAAGCAGTATCAGAGTAACGTGTGTATCTATAATGAAAACCCCTTAGAATCTCAATTGCCAAATCGAAATCAGTCTTTTTCGGTTTTTTGTTTGTCGTTTAACGCCGCACTCAGCAATATTCCAACTATATGACGGCGGTCTGTAAATAATCGAGTCTGGACCAGACAATCCAGTGATTTACATCATGAGCATCGATCCACGCAATTGGGACCGATGACGTGCATCAACCACCCGATCCCGTTAGTCGCCTGTTACGACACGCATAGTCGCCTTTTACGGCAAGCATGGGTTGCTGAAGACCTATTCTACCCCGGATCTTCACGGGTTGCTGGTTTTATACTGCTGGCTAACCAAGATGCCACAGTTTAACATGGATAACGCACTCACCACTATCATTCTAGTTTGTTTATTGTTTAACGCCACACTCAGCAATATTCCAGCTATATGACAGTGGTCTGTTAATAATCATGTCTGGACCAGAAAATACAGAGATTGACATCACGAGCATCGAACCACGCAATTGGGATACGGTGACATGCATCAACCAAGTCAGCGAGCCTAGCCACCCTATCCTGCTAGTCGCCTCTTACAACAAGCATAATTGCTGAAGACCTATTCCACCACGGATTTCCACAGGTCCACAACGATCATTCCAGAATGATGTCAGAAGTGTGTTAGTTTGACATGAGCATCTCCAATTGGGATTGATATATCCATTAACTACTGAAGCACAGCACAGGTTCGCCTTTCCTCCTATCTAATCACCATTAGAGTCACAGCATATTATGTATTTGCAGGTGCTGTAAGTTACGTATCAGACACTGGTCACATATCTCGCTATGTATACTGCTTCCCTGCCGGAGCTTGGAGAACTTCCCTGACTTGCCATTACGCAGCAAATGTTCTCTGTTGCATATTGTGTCAAGCTTCTATGTCCACCTTATTAACAGTAACGTATGAATCGGTAACGTATGCAGAGCTCCCGATAACTTTTGAGCAATTGAGTTTTTACTATAGGGTTTCTATTTTAATTGGGTTATTACATTTTTCATTGGGTAACCAATATTTATTCACTCATCTATTCATCTCTCTTTGGGTTTTTCCCCAAAACTAGTTAACATTTTAAGATTTAAAAAAAGTGAAATAATGTTTTAGATTTATATAACTGTTCTAAATATATATAATTGTGTTAACTAGTGAAATTAGCTCCTTTGTACGCATGCTGAAAAGGCTTCATTGGGTATTTACGCGAACTGTTATACGGGGACACTGTAACACTGTAACTTGATAATGCCCTCATGTTGCTTGACGACGGGCCATTATCACGCCCGTTGTTAGGTGACGTCATATTAATGTCCTACATGACGTCATCTGGTTTGTTCTATGACGTTTTCATATTTAAACAAGTGGATCAGTGACATTCGTTGTGTTTTGACTGCAGTAAATGTTTCAAAACCGATATTGTTGTTTATCATATAATGGGTGGGTTTCTCGGCAGGATAAAGACGACGGGAAAAAACGATATCCGTTGGGGTCATATGCGGATAGAGATGCAAATATCAAAGGTCAAGTAGGGACTACTTTCAGTGTTTATAAACAAACATGGCGTCGCCCGAACTCCGGCGCAGTGGTGACTCCACTCTCCTACCCAGAGTTCCATGCGGCCGGCAGCCAGCTAGCATAGTACCTCTGCCACAGGCCAGCGCCATGTGACGATTCGTCACATCTTTCACAGTCCATTCAAGATATTGTATATGCTTTTCATCCGTTTCGTGTTTGACTAGTCTACACATTTTCATAAACAAATGTCAAAGAATGGTTAACTTTCATTTAGAAAGTATGCAAATACGTAAATATCTACTTGTTTTTGCGTAGTTATCCTATGTTTACATTGGTTGTACGGCTCCACGTGCTGTCATCGAAGCCCAACGGAGGGCTAGCGACACTGTCATTTTGATGCATAAATATATATTGTCATGCAACTCACTGTCGCAGTTGTAGTAGCATATCTATATAGTTATGCAAAACAATATGTAAAGCGCCCCCAAATACTTGCATTAGTCCGTTCTATACTGATTTCTGAAAAAGCGCGTTTGTTTACAAACAAGAGAAAAGTCCGGTCACGTGATATGCAAATTAGCCTGTGGCAGTGGTGTTATGCTGAGTCACCACTGCGACGGAGTGTGTGGTGACTCAGCATAACACCACTGCCACAGGCTAATTTGCATATCACGTGACCGGACTTTTCTCTTGTTTGTAAACAAACGCGCTTTTTCAGAAATCAGTGTAGAACGGACTAATGCAAGTATTTGGGGGCGCTTTACATATTGTTTTGCATAACTATATAGATATGCTACTTCAACTGCGACAGTGAGTTGCATGACAATATATATTTTTGCATCAAAGTGACCGTGTCGCTAGCTCTCCGTTGGGCTTCGATGACAGCACGTGGAGCCGTACAACCAATGTAAACATAGGATAACTACGCAAAAACAAGTAGATTTTTACGTATTTGCATACTTTTTCAATGAAAGTTAACGCTTCTTTGACATTTGTTTTTGAAAATGTGTAGACTTGTCAAACATGAAACGGATGAAAAGCATATGCAATATCTTGAATGGACTGTGAAAGATGTGACGAATCGTCACATGGCGCTGGCCTGTGGCAGAGGTAATATGCTGGCTGGCTGCCGGCCGCATGGAACTCTGGGTAGGAGAGTGGGCGTCGCCCTCGTCATTCGGCGATCGAGTCAGATTTAACCATCGGGAATGTGGAGAAACTACAGGGATAATTGCTATCATTATGAAAAGAATAGACTAATATACTGAAAACCAGTGTCTTACTGTGACGTAGCTAAGGAATTTTACAAGTTTTGGCAACTTTGGAGATATAATTTGAGAAACAATTTAGCGAGGGCACTAGCCAAGCGGGATCACTTTACGAATCTGTTCTTGTAGACCTCTGTGGCTTGGAACCTTTTCACAAATTAATACAGTTGGATTTGGCCGAAATATGTTCGAATTGTTACCTTGTGTCGCTGTGTGTACATTTGACAGCACTTCGTTACGTTATGACAGGGCAGGCCGACTGTCAACAACGTCTGACTGTGGCCGTGACGTTTGATACACTAGGGTTAGAGTAGCTTCCCTTTGATAAAGGGCAGTTACTCTATCGGACAGACCGATGAATTGCCGTGAAAAGCAGGTAAAAACAATTTGTGAAGGCAATTGCTTTGCATATATGTAGTTACGCCACTGTATAAGAAAAAGGTTTCTGTTGAAACTATATTGGCAACTGTCACTGTCCGACTGACACATCACTTACCCTCTGATGTAATATATATTCATGCGCAACATTCCAGGAAAATTGCAATGTTTAGGTAGATCTAATGTTTGTTAGTGATGGAAAGAGATCTTCGAGCACAGAATTGAAGAATGACATTATATGATAAAGAGGTTATCACGCTTGTACATATACGCTAAATACAATGTATATTCCTAATACAGGATATTTACCATCCCCAAACACACAAGCGTGTTAACCTCTTTATCATATAATGTCGCCAAGGCTCGCTAAATACAATGTTTATTCCTAATACAGGATATTTACCATCCCCAAACACACTCGCGTGATAACCTCTATTTATTTTTATTTCATAACTTTTATCCATTTTAGCATTTTTTCATCGAGCTTCTGCAAATGATAATGTCCTGAAAAATAGCGTTGCCCTTCTATCATTACACTCATTAAACACAGTGTGTTTATTTCTGTATAATGGGCCTCATGGCCTACAGTACAAAAGAACCATTCATATTTTATAGAACAAATGTGAAATATCATCAAATACAACATGCATGCATGCATACGTGGAACAAAATGTCATACAATGATTTGTTTGTTCAGTTTCAAACTATAAAGAAATTAAATTCCTCTTAAGGAACAGAGCAATTTTGTTTTTACATGTACATCACTAATTGCCATTAACAATTTAAACTTATCCTCTGAAGGAAATTTATGAAAATATGATGGAATAAATTGTTGGCGACTATTTCTGTATGCCGGGCATACCAATTAATAATTACACTCATCTTCTTTAACTGCCAAATAACATTTTTTCACATAAACTTTCTAATACATTTGAGGAATTAAAATCATTTGAGGATCGTAATTTTTGAATATTCAAGTGGTGAGAAGAGCATCTAAATTTACACAAAATTCTAATCAAATCCTTGTGTTCTAAATGTAAAATATAGGATTCGGGAGTTAACAGTGTCTTAAAACTAGAATAACTTTCTAAAAAAAGAGAATTTTCTACTTTACTATGCAAATTTTGAATTCCAATATCCTTACATCGTTGTTTGAACTGCTGCAGAAATGCATCCCCATCCCCATACGATTGCATAATCCAAACATATGAAAAACCTGTATTGAACAAAAGTTCCAGAACGTGACTGACCCAGTTTACTCTTCCTAACTCATCATGTGATTTCAACATGGCATAACAAGCCCTAGGATATCTACCATAATCTAAGGTTAAAAGTTTACACCAATATTTAATAACTTTTGTGAAACACTCAACATATATATAATTTCTTCCACAGTCTCCGAGAACCGCATTGCTGGAAGAATATGATGATTAACCTATTTTATCGTTATATTTGAATCCCCAAATCTCGGAACCATATGTCAAAATCGGTAATATTTTCGTATCGAAAATTCTACATGCAACAGAAAAGGAACTATTTGGAAACTTCTAAAATACTCGTATCATTACACTCAGTTAGCAGTCAACTCAACAGATGTTGGACTGTTCTGGGTTCGTGTCCCTGGTCTACGTATACAGATTTACACAGTAACATACGTACCGTTTCATTGTCACCACTCTCAACGCCGAGACTCTCGGCAGCGTCTGTAACAGAGATAAGCATCATCAAAGTCACATACACTGTTCAGTCTTGGAAAGAAAGGGTAACAGCAGGCTCTGTGGTCAAAATCGCTCCCCTTGATGTTGTCAGGATCCGCTGCCCGTCCCGATTATGACTTTGGTCTCACCACAATACCCGCGTTTATGAGGTGAGGTGAGGTGAGGTGAAATGAGTTTTTACGTCGCGTCCAAGATTACTGCACTAATATAGCGACGTGCATGCACGTGTGTGTGTGTGTGTGTGTGTGTGTCTGTGGCTGCTTGTACTAGTGCGGACTGATGCCGATTTATAGTGCTAGCCCACTGAGATACCATGCCGCAGTTTAACATGAATACCCCACTCAGACACAGTATGCTGACTCCGAGAAGACCAGTCCTAGTTTTTGCCCCTTAATGCCGAGCGCCAGACAGGGTAACAACAAGTACCATCTTTTACCGTCTTTTGGTATGACGCGACCGTTGATTGAACCCCGGACCTTCCGCTCTCAGGACGGACGCTCTGCCACTAGACCACGGAGGCGGTCCCCGCGTTTATGAACGTGTTAGGCTGAGTATTTATCATTACTCTTGCTGCTATTCACCAAAGTTGTGTAAGTCTGCGACCTGCGTCATGTAAGCACTTCCTTCGACATGAAGCTGACGTGCCGTTATATCATTGAAATAATGAAAGACCCGGGGTAGAATAGGTCTTCAGCAACCCATGCTTGCCGTAAAAGGCGACTATGCTTGTCGTAAGAGGCGACTAACGGGATCGGGTGGTCAGGCTCGCTGACTTGGTTGATGCATGTCATCGTATCCCAATTGCGTAGATCGATGCTCATAATGTCAATCACTGGTCCAGACTCGATTATTTACAGACCGCCGTCATATAGCTGGAAGGTTGCTGAGTGCGGCGTTAAACAACAAACAAACAAAACAAACTAACGCGGCTTTAAAACTCACCCAAAACATAGTTTGGTTGCAAAATCAGTTTGAAACCTGTCATCCACAGAGAGTATACTGTACTGCACTACAGCAATCACATCAATCACCCCATGTCGACATGCCTATTGGTTAGTGTCAGCCTCGTTCTGGGGTGGTTGATGGTGATGACACCACTAAGTGGCGCTGCGAACCATCAACCCGCGTTGAAACCAAAAACACTCTACACCTGGCTCAGACGGCACGTGGCAACATTGACATTCAGACAGGTGTGTGTTGAAATGAAAAACAGTTCTATGTTTAGCTGCATGGCAAGATGTAGATTTACCCTTATAAGTGGCATGTCCGCGTTAGTTGGCGACACCCAGGTGCTAGACGCTCGCGAACTGATGTAATTAAGGCCGAGAACTCGACCCGGCTAAACCATCCAGGTAGATGTCAAGTAAACAACGTGTTCCTTTACCGCCCTGATCATGTGAAGCAAATGTAACAAATAAATGTTGTTACATAGTTTATGGTCTTAATGGTCGTTTGACATTTTTGTCCATTTCAGAGTCGCTTTGCAAATTTGGTTCATAGCCTTAATGAATTGCTGAAATGAAAACACTTATGATCACAGCTTCAGTTGAGAGATTTGATCCCTGCTGCCTATAATTTGCAGAAGTTAGCAATATATGATCAAACTGGTAACAATATCTACGAATATGATTCACATCCGAAATTCTCAGTCCTCGCCGTCACTGAGACAAGTTTAGTCACTGATGGCGTATAGTATCGCCCACTCACCTCCAGGCAATCCGCCTCAATGATCCCAGTAACCCACAGGCCAGTTGGTCGCTTGTGGATTGTTTCACAGATCCCGTGACGTCAAACCTTTGTAACCAAACTCTCAATCTGCTTTTAAACTGAGCAGATGGTTATGGTATTGGGCAGGTCTGTAATTGCATTTCTCTCTAAGGAATATGAACACAGGTGGAATCCACCATTGCCCAACATCAACACAGCCATGCGAGTCTGTCCGACATCTTGAAACAAAACCACTGTTCGCTACAGCCACAGTCTCCTAATTCGGCATCGATCTCTAAGCAAAGGTCGTATTGTTTAAACGCGGGAGGAACGTTCAACAAATATCTTTTGATGTCTCACACGATGCTGTCATTGCCATTCGAGACAGGCAGGTTACCAGCGTAAGCATAGCTGAGCGCGGATAATCCTCCTCCCTCCGATAGAAACCCCCCCCCCCCCCCCCACCCCCCACCCCCACCCCACCACCCTTCCCAAACAACTCGATCCCAAGCCCGTCTCCAAACAATAGACTTGTGAACATTTTAATCATTTCAATATATTTACAAAAAATAGTAATAAGACCAGTAATAAATTTGACTATTGCGCAGTGGAATATAAACTATTACCAAAATGCGAATTCACAAACGAAACATGACTCTCTTGATATGATGAGTGAGTGATTTGGGTTTATACGCCGCTTTTGACAGTATTCCAGTTATATCACGGTGTTTCATCTTGATGTGGGAGGAAAGCCCGAAGTGATGCAGGTCTCAGACGTTTACCACTTCGGTGAAACCCACGAGCACGGGTATGGTGCTGACAAACCTAGAAACATAATCGGGGCAAACCGGGATTCGAACCCACAACCATAGGTTTCTAGCGTGTCCAAGGGACGCAACTCTGCACAGCGAATCGCGGCGCCTTAGACGACTGGGCCACCCGTGTCCCTTATATGATGAAATAATTCAGATAATAAATTCGAGGAACAAAACGTGAATCTCTTCTTAAAAATGATGAAGAAATGTGACAAAATTTACTAAATATGATTCTCAAAATCTATTGCTATCAACCTATCAGTCAAGCCCTATTTTGGCAAGCATTGTTGCGTCCTATCGCGACAGCCTTAACTAACATGTTCTACAGCGTCCTACCTTGACGAGCTATAAAACGAAATTGTTGAATTATACGTCCTATCGCGACAAAATAACATGCCAATCTGACGAATGTGCGTCCTATCGAGCCGAGATATCAAACCAAACTGAACTTAACTCAAGTAAGTCCGATTTGCCTCGTTTTGCACGTGCTTGTTTTCTCCGCGAAGTAAGTTAAGTCTCCAGCTATCGTAACATGTCTTCCAACCAGTGACAGATGTGGAGTGTCGGACACAATACAACATCATTTGTTTTACTGTACAACAGTCTTTCCATTTTGGGTCACTTGTTTTTAAATGGATGAAACTGAACATAAATTATAAGATATTTGAAAATTAGAGATACAGTATTATTTGGAGTGAAAAAGAGTGTCCACTGACGAAACGATACTCAACGATACTTCTACTTGCGGCAAAATATTATGTGTATAAATGTAAAATTCTTGAAAAGATCTCTACATTTAATAACTTTGTTAAGGACTTTGAGTTTCATGTACAAATAATAAACAAACATCAGAAAATGGACCGTGTAATGACAGCGAAAATTTGAACCTCTGCCCAAGCAAAGTCTACTTAATCTGCACATACTGCGACCCGTTAGGCCAGCGTGGTCCTGTAGGGTCTAGTGTAAAATCGTGGCACCTAATGTGAAATAAACTAATAACTTAAAAAAAACCCACAAAAAACCACGTTTTAATCGTGCGTTACATTGTTGGAGTTTTTAGAACAACTCTGAAATGGTTAAATCAGATTGCCTTCGCAATGTTCAACCATTTTGGGGTGTGGAATCCTACATCAACAATATAGAAGAGTTTAAACATGAAGGTACTCTTGGTCAGTTTAGATGTCTATCGCATACACTCAGGCTATAGACCGGTATGTACATGGGGGGGGGGGGGGGGGGGGGGTAGACTGGTGATCACATGATTGATACGTCATGAATATAATACACTCATTTAATACTGTAACACAATTTAAACTCCCAAAGTAAAATGAAAAACGCACCACGTACGTCAAACATACAAGTACTATCATGTGACATTGCCAGTACACTAGTCAGTCATACAAACCCTGAAACAAATATATCCAATACAGCCCATGCAAGTCTAGAATATAGTTGGCAAGTCTAGGTTACTGCAGTGTCTATGCTCCTTTTTATTATATTTTATAACTATAATTAAACAATGTTTTTTTCTGTAAAATATGTTTATTTCAGAGACTAGGTGTTAGTCTACCAGTACGCTTACAATTTGAAATGATGCAATTCTCTACTAAATCAGTTAGACTGTTTACTGTACGTGTTATCTTAGACTTGCACAAGTCTCTATGGCAATAATTATTAGTTTAAATCATAATTTCTAGATTATGTAAATAATAAGAACAAGTTGTCCCTATAAGAGACTGGTGTCCATAGACCACATATCTAGACTTACCTGTCAGTAGGATAGAATTACAACACTTATCTTTCAGTACAGCACTGGAGCAAGGCTAGTATTACCTCCAAAAACGGTCTTACCGAAGCGTAGACGGTGTGTGTGTCGGTATCACAAACTTATATAACACTTTGTCCAAAACCTCAGGGCAACTCACACATGTTTACCATCATTGCTTGTTAAGCGAACAAATATTTAAGCAAATACCCAGACAACGCATGTGCGGAAATGATTTCACGCGCAAACAAAGCACTAGGTTCACAAGCCAATGCTTGCCGCATTTTCCAATGAATGGTTGTTATTTCAATTCAGGCTAAAACAAACGTTTTGTTCAACCAATTACTCCCAAGATGTTATGTGACCTCATTCTGACATTTCACCATGTTGACGTGGTTTCTATATTCCTACTTGAGTCTTAATACAGTCTGGGTTATGTCATTGAGAAGTAAGCTAGATAATGTCTGACAGCGGTCATGATGCAAGAGAATGAAGAGCATGTCGGAGGCTGCACTTCACTGCAGGCGAGCTATATCGCCCATCTGGAAGCAACGTGGCGTCGACGCCTGGTAGCACGATCTAGTTTCACAGTAGGCCGATAGGGCGTACAGGTGCTGACCGTCTACTTCAGGGCACGTGTTAAACCAGTGAGCCAACAGTACACACAACCCTCCAGCACCATCCGACTTGACCTCACTACAGAGCGCTGCTACATCGTATCATGTGCGAGATCGCGGGAGCTTTTTGCCAGGATATTTTTTAGGGAAACATATTGACTGACAAATGTTTTAAGGCAAGAGCGATCTCCGAGAGAAGTAGCTTCAGACGCAGACGACACCAACAGATGCTCTTAACGCTGTGTTTACATATCAAAGCATCAGTTCCAATGGCTCCCCGTTATAACGCGAATCCCCCTGCTTAAAATACAAGTGGTTCCAGATCTTATTAAATTACCATCAACGCACAAATATGTCTACATTGCTCTGCCAAGCGACATAGGTCGAGCCGGACACGTGCGGCCACCTCAAACATAAGCACCGATCTACTAACAAGTAACGATTTGGACTCTAATCAGCATTATTCCTAAATTAAAAGTCTCCTCTTGTATGGAGCGCCGTCTATGAGATAAGACAGCACATATTCGGCTCACTTACTCTTTAAAGAATAGTCTAGCCAGATTACAGAATCCCATCTTCCATCTGTCTCATAGTGCACGTTATTGGTCTTACCTGCGCTCCATCCATAGCGTGTATCCGCGCTTGACCGTGTAACCATCGGCATCCCGACCCCGCTACCGTTTCCTTCTCAGCCCTGAGCATCACTCAAGCTGCTAACTGTATTGTTTCCACTCAACCCTGCCTCCCTCAAGAACTGGAGACTTCTGGTGGAGGTTGCGTTTGGGAGAATTCTCCATGTTTTCTCTTGGGCTTGCTCAGGAACCATATACGCCAAAATCTGGTGTCGGATCTCTGGGTTGCCATAGCGACTCAAACTGAGCTTTGTGGGTTGACGTTTCCTTTTGTGATGAGTCTGAGAATAAATTTTAAATATTGAATCATTTTAACTTTAATTTGGTAAATAAGGTGTTATGGATGATTTCATTTGAGGAAATATATCATGACAGGAAATACTGAACACATTATAACAGAAAGCTATAGGTTTAATCAGATGACAAATTGTCTCTGGTTCAAGATTAGATTCAAGCGCGAAAATTATTTCAAACGATTGATAAACGACCTGCTTAACACATTTTAGTTTTATTACTTCTGCTAAAATCAATATCAATGCTGCCTGTAACTCACAAAATTAACAAGCTATTTAAGCTCACCATTAGTCTGTCTTACAGACCCTGATACAAATATATATCAAATACAGCCCATGCAAGTCTATAATGTTTGGCAAGTCTAGATCACTGCAGTATCAGGAAATCTGAAAATGAAGAGTCACTGGGCTCCATTTTATTATATTTTTATGTAGATAACTGAACAATTGGTTTTTTATGTACGATATGTTCATTTCAGAGACTAGATGTTAGTCTAGCTCACCATAATCTTGGGGTATGCATGCAATAGAAGAACGGTTATTACTGTTTTCAGAGTGGCTCGCATGAACGCACCTCCAGCCGAGAGCGGGATACATGTGGGGGTGATCAGGCTCTCCGCCTCCCCGCGTAATGGCGGCCGCCTCTCTCAGTACAACTGATAAAGGAGTCACGTGGACATATCAAAATTAATGGAAACAAAAGTCTGGCATAATTTAATCAAAAATCGTTAACCGCTTCTCCGTCGCTCCCTTTAGGTAGCATTACCTTCCGTCAACCTGACAACTTTAATCTTAGTATTTAGTTAAAATGCCATTTTGTTCGGAGTAAAATTATCTCTGAA